CTGGGGGTTGGGATCCGTTGCCGGACACGGAAAAAAAAAAAAAAAAAAAAAAAAAAAAAAAAAAAGAATGGGGGAAGCTACAGAAGACACATGTGAGAAGTGAAAGGGAATGGAAAGGTGGAGATGATAACAAGATCCTAATGATACCTTGTATTTACTAAGCAATTAGCACAGTTAGGCAGATATATTATTTTATCTTTACAAGCCCATGAGTGAGATTCTAACATCTTCATTTTACACATGAAGCTTAGAGAAGTTGAATAATTTATCCAAGATCACACGCTTAGTCAGTGAAGCTTTTCTTCCCCACTTCCTACCCTGCCTTGGGAGATTTGCAGTAATGGTGGGGGCAGGAGCAACGCACCCTGCCCGTGGAGATGTCTGTGATGAGGAAGCAATTCTGTAGTAGTGCTTTCCACATGGGATGTTAATGTTTAGGTACAGCCAGCCATCTTTAAACAGGAACGCTGACTTTTTTTTTCTTTTTAAAAAATTTTTATTAGTTTTTTCATTATACATATTTGTGGGGTACACTTGTTTCAATTCATGCATGTATTATATAATGATCTAATAGAATAGGTAGCATATCTGTCACCTAAATATTTATCATTTCTTTATGGTTCTAACACTGAAGATTCTCTTTTCTGGCTATCTTGAAAGGTACAACACAATATTATTAACTATTGTCATCCTAGGGTATGAGAACTTATTCTAACTATCTGGCTGTGACTTTGTAAGTTTGTACTAGTCTACTGTCTTTTCCCCTGCTGCCCCTCCCTCTCCCTTTCCCTGCCTCTGGTAACCACTATTCTACTCTCTATTTCTCTCTCTTTTTCCCCTCTTTTTAATTTATTTTTCTTAATTAACCCATGATAATTGTGTATATTTATGGAGTACAATATGATATTGGTACTTTCATGCTGTGTGCAATGATCATATCATGGTGCTTAGTATATCCATCACCTGAAACATTTGTCACTGAGAACAGTGACCTTTTAAGGCTAAGGGCAGCTTTAGAGTATGACAGTAGGATGAAGGGCAGGCAAAACCTGTGTTGAAGACACTGTTCTTCCTACAGTGATTAGAAAGCTATAATGCAGTATAATATTGTGACCTATACAATACACAGTGGTAAAAGCCTAAATAGAAAAAAATCTCTTCTTTTTTAAAAAATTAATTAATTAATTGTGGGGTTTTTGTTTTTACATTCTAAGATGTGTTGTGGAGCAGTTGGGGTAGAGGGCGAGAGAGGATGGGGGAGAGGAATAGGGTGGGAGGATGAGGAAGGAGGAAGGGGGGTGTGGTTGAGGCCCATGGCACCCCCCTCATTCCAGGAGAGTAACCTTGGGGGGCTTCCAACAGTGGCTCAGTCGTGGCTAGGCTGGATGCGGATTTCACGGGACATGGCTAAGGCCCTCAGCCCCCACTCCCACCCCAGTTCAGGAAACGGGGGTGCTTCTAGCAGTGGCCTGGAACTCTGCACTGGAACTAATTGGTTGTCCTTTGCTTATTTCTAAAATGGAGAAACTTCCTGTGGGAACCACCACTTGAGCCCTGTGGTTGAGCTAAATTAAGTTGCTGCTTTGCTGCTGATTCTCTGGGAAAGGCTTTTTGTGCAGCTCAGGTTTTAATTATTGACTTTGTAAGCACTTCTAAGTCTTGTGAGGTCTGGTGCACCTGGGTTGTATGGAAACTGAGGTCTGGGCCTGAGTCTTTTCATCAAACTGCACCCCATGCAGTTCTATATTCCTGACTAGTCTCCACTGAGTGGTCCTATGCTGATTAGGGGGCAGATCAGCTGTCTGTGCTGTGCCCCAGTGTTCCCCAGTGGGCCTGTTTCCCCCTCTACCTGCACTCTAAACACTTCCCATAGGACGGGCCATGTGCCTGTCCCTTGTAATGACTCACTGGCCTCTGAGTGTCTCCTTTTTACAGTTGTCTGTGGCCCCTTGCTCCTATGTGTGTCCAGAGGAACCCTGTTAGTGGTCTAGCTGGCCTGGGGACCACCAAGGCCCTTTTCTGCCCTGCAGCCTCCAAGCAACTTCAAACAAAGGACACAGCTGTGGTTTTGCCAGGTCTTACTCCGTGCACTCACCAGGGTCAGACTTGAAGTTGTTGGAGTGGTCCTTTCTCTCATCACAGCTTTTCCTGCCTTCATGTACTCCCTAGGTCTCTCTTCCTCTTCTCCTGAGTTCTAGCGGCCCCAGCTTGGCAGTTGTTGCTGTTTAATAGTTGTAAATTGGTTGTGGGAGAGAATGACACTGGGGACCATCTATTCTGCCATCTTGACTGGAAGTCAGAAAACCTCTCCTAGTTTTCCTATAGTGAAAGTACAAATAACAGAACATCAGAAATATATTTAATAAGTTATTTTCCTGGACTGTTTGTCTCAATAGCTTCTACTTCTTAACTGTAGAATAAGATAACAGACCTTGAGTAAGTTAAACAAGATAATCCTTGAAAGCAGTGTCTGGCACGCAGTAGGATCACTGTAATGTTCACTTCATTTCTCATCTACTTTAGCATATTATATTACAAAAATATGCTTAACAATGAGCATATCTTATTTAAGAAATAAGTATATTTTAGAGAACTTTTCATCTGGACTTTACAGTTTTGAACCTTAAAAAAATAATTAGTCCTCATTCAATCCTTTTTGAAACTTAAAAAAAAATTAATCCTTATGTAGAAAACACATTTTCCTAGGGTGATTGAGTTTTCTAAGGGTAGCCGAAGCCAAAAATGAGTATCTTTTTTTAACATATTCTTTTCTTTTTCCACATCTAGATGATTTGGCAACTCCTAAAGGTCTCAGCAGTGGTTTGTACTTCTCATTATAGAGATTTTTCACATCCTTGGTTAACTCAATTCCTAAGTATTTTATTTTTTTGGTGGCTATTGTAAATGGGCAAGCTTTCTTGATTTCTCTTTCTGCCTGTTCACTATTGGAGAATAGAAATGCTACTGATTTTTGTGTGTTGATTTTGTATCCTGCTACTTTGCTGAAATCATTTATCAACTCCAAGAGTTTTTTTGTAGAGGCTTTAGGCTGTTCGATATATAGGATCATGTCATCTGCAAACAGGGACAGTTTGACTTCATCTTTTCCAATCTGGATGCCCTTTATTTCCTTCTCTTCTCTGATTGCTCTGGCTAGTACTTCCAACACTGTGTTGAATAGGAGTGGTGAGAGTGGACATCCTTATCTAGTTCCTGTTCTTAAAGGAGAAGCTTTCAGCTTTTCCCCATTCAAGATGATATTGGCAGTGGGTTTATCATATATGGCTTTAAATATGTTGAGATACTTTCCATCAATACCTAACTTATAGAGAGTCTTTATCATGAATGAGTGTTGAATTTTATCAAATGCTTTTTCAGCATCTATAGAGAGATGATCATATGGTCTTTGTGTTTGATTTTATTGATATGGTATATCACATTTATTGATTTGTGTATGTTGAACCAACCTTGCATC